CAAAGAAAAAGGGAACTATAATACTTTCAAATAAAGTGGGAAATACTGATTGTGATTCATCTGCAGAGGAAGTGAAACTGATTATTCAGGCTAAAGAGGGTAATTTGAAAGGCTATCAAGGTACACAGTCAGGACAGTCAGTTCAAATGACACTGGAGCTGCTGTCTCCATCATTTCTGAAGAGTGTGTGCCATTAGAACCCATACAATATTGTATTAAAAGCATACACTGATGAAGGCACTCTGAAGTGTTTAAGGATGAGTTGGGCACTGTGAAGGAAATTTGACATCAAACCTGAGAGTAAGCCAAGGTTCTTTAAAGCTCCCCCTGTTCATATACTGTTAAGCCAAAAGTCAAAGCTTCAAAGTGTTCTGGAGCCAGTAAGTGTGAGTCTGAATTTGCGGTCATTTCAAGATCACTCTGCTGTGATATCTTGTTTACTAATTTTACAACATTTTATGCAGTCTTTGAGAAGTGCTTGGGTTAGATAGTCTGTTAGGATCTGGCAACTCTAGAAAGCCATTAAAATGCAGTATGAGTTGTGGTATTCTAAGAGTTGCATTGGAATGAGAACTGTGAAATTAATTCAGAGCTGCTGGTCAGTTTTATCATCCTTACTGATGCTTATACTACTTTAAAAATGTTTATGTAGCTTTATAGTAGTTGATCTGCAGATGTACCCTTCAGTTCACACACACACACACACACACACACACACACACACACACACACACACATGTTCTGATTAAAATTCTCTCTGTTTGTGTCTCCTCTAGTCTGTGTGTGTACAGATGTGTGTGATCTCACTCTGGATCCAAACACAGCAAACCAAAATCTCTCTCTGACTGAGAGGAACAGAAAAGTCGAGTGGATGGAAGAGGCTCAGTCATATTAAGATCATCCTGACAGAGTACTGCGCTCAGGTTCTGAGTGTAGAGAGTCTGACTGGACGCTGTTACTTGGAGGTTCAGTAGTGCAACAATACTAGGATATAAAGTACAATTCAGTGCAGTGACTGCAAAGATGCTGTTAAAGTGATGGTGTGGAGTTCAGCAGGGGCACAGCCTCAGGGAAGAAGATCTTCCTGAGGCTACTGGTGTGGGAGCGGAGGTTCCTGTAATGCCTGCCAGATGGGAGGAGGGTAAAAAGTCCATGGTTAGGACAGACCTTTTATGATGCTGTTCGAAGAAGTCTGGCCCAAGGAATGTACAGCAGTAAACCTTGTGAGGGAAGCACAGTCATGGTTAATGGACTGGGTCAGAGTGACCAGACACCTTCATACAGTTTGTGCATTACTCTGATAATCTCCTAAAAGTAGTCAGTGGCTGTAACACTAATGCTGTAGAACTATGTTACTGGTTTTCATAGATCTGCTTCTCACTGTTACTCTGATAGGCTTCTAACAACAGTCACTGATTATCACTAGTTAATCTAAATACTTCTATCCACTGACAGGCTGGTTTCTTTTTTCTTTTTTTCCTGTTCTCTATGTTACATATTTTATATTAATTTTAATATCTTATTCTATGTTTATATTGCTCTTGTTGTGTTTTTGTTTTGCTATCTGGTGTTGACCAGAGGAGGATCGGTACTCATTTGGGACCCAGACCCAGATTTTCTGTAAAGTTGCTTTGTGTTTCTGGTTAAAAACTGGAATACAATAAATCTTTGATTAAACTAAACTGAAGTACATAAAATGGACAGCTGTTATGCTAAAGCCACTAAAACCAGAAATGTGTAAAGATGGAGTAAACAATTGTTCGCATATACAGAGTCCCTGCAAAGAATTTAGCATTTTGATGAACACTACAAATTCCTTACACCTATAAAAACATTGAGTCAATTGAATTGAATCAAACAATATGTGAAGCTGCTTACTTAACAAGGACAAAGTGTGTTCTGAAAAAAAATAAATAAATACATAAATAAAACCTGTTGTGAGTAAATCAGTACAAGAGACCTTTTGTGCTTCTAGAATAAAAACACAAAACCAAAAGAGGAATACCGCAAAGTGCAGCTTTTCCCACCTGGAGATTTGAATGCAATCTGAATGTAGACCAAAAACAGAAGAATTTGTGTCTGGCCAGCTATGCAGAATATGAGTACTGACTATTGTTCAAATCAGAAAGCTCTCCCAAAACAACATAAAACTGGACTTTGTAAGTCACAGACAGATATCACTGTTTTTGCCTGACTTCCTAAAATTTGACAGTAAAAAACACTTATAGGAGACCGGAATATAGCAATACTTAAAAGCAGCTGACACCATAGATGGTCCAATGGAAGATGCATGGGCACATATATGTCCAGAAAATGAGTGTGAACATTTAGAGTGCCTTGCCATTCAAACTGATCAAGCAGAAATGGAAGAAATGACTGGCATACATCTTGCTGTATATTTGAAGATAATACTTGTGGAATTACAAAACAGAAAACTGTGAGTTTGTTGTGATTTTGTTGTGATTTTGTTGTGATTTTGTGAGCTTTCCTCAGTCATCTTGACGATAAATGTCTCTGATGACCAGCCCAGAATGACAGTGACAGACAGCCTGTGTTCACATCCTTAGTCTGGTGAGCGATCCACCGTTACATGTATGTGTTGTGTGTGTGTGTGTTTTTTTTTTAAACTATCTATCCTTAATAGAAGGAAATATAGTTTATGTTTTGGTGCATACATAAAACAAACATACAAAATACTCTCTAAGGTTTTAGCCATACTTGCCTTGGCTTGTCCTGCCTTTACGCTTTGCTAGTCATAGAGCTCTGTTTTAGACACAGTAGGTAAGAGGTGGGTGCCACCCTCTGCATCCTCAATCCATTTATGGTTGATCAAGCCACATTCTATTCCACATCCCGTACTCTGCTCCATTACTCACCTGTAAATTGTTTGTTTTAGCTGCTTTCATTATGACCGTGTCTCAACAATGTATGCTCATTTTGTATTTTTCTCTAAGCTTAACGTACATCTATGTTTTCTAAGCTTAACATTACTTATTTGTTTTAATTTATCAAGAGAGTAATAAGTGTGTTCTGCTTCAATCTAGATTATGCTGAAAACTTTATTTTACTATGTTTCTCTCTTAGAACTGAATAAACCAGTTTATGGGTTGAAGTTTTATTGACATTCAGTGCAAAATGCAAGCAATAAAATGAATGCATAAAAAAAACATTCCCCTTGATGTGTCTATTGGTACAGGGAAATAAAATGGAGTATGTGTTGTATGATGTGAGTAACACACCACAGCAGTGCCAGTTTAAACACCGCTTTCCTTTCCAAAAATATACTAACTGATCAATTTATTAGAAACACCTGTACACCTACTCACCTGTGCAATTATATAATCAGCCAATTATCTGGCAGCAATGCAGTGCATAAAATAATGGAGATATGGGACAAAACTGGATAGTTGAAGACTAGAAAAACTTAGCCTGGTCTGATGAATCTCGATTTCTGCTGAGGCACACAGAGGGTAAGGTTAGAATTTGGCACCAACAGCATGAATCCATGGACCCAACCTGCCTTATGTCAGCAGTCCAGGCTGGTGGAGGTGGTGTAAGGGTGTGGGGAATGTTTTCTTGGCATGCTTTGGGCCCATTAATCAACTCAATCTTCGCTTGAATGCCACAGCCTGTTTGAGTGTTGTTGCTGACCACGTTCGTTCTTTGATAGACACAATTTACCATCTTCTAATGGCTACTTCCAGCATGATAATGCACCATGCCACAAAGCATCATCTCACACTGGTTTCATGAACATGACAATGAGTGAAGTATTTTTATATTTCTATTTTAATTTTCAATAAAGTTACAGAAATATAATTTTTTTGTTTCAGCCCATTAAAGCATTTTGAAGAAAACCCAGTTAAATTTTAAACAGTTCTGAAAAGCTAATCAAAACTGAGTGGCTTCCAGCAATAAATACACTTCAGAGGTGTCAAGTTTAGTGGAGAAAGTCCCAACACACCCAATGAACATACTTTATCCAAAAGGTCATCTTCATTCATTTTGAAATTAACTAAAGAAAATAGCATTATTATCAGCTGGTAAACATGCTTCCTGAAACCTGCTGACATTTACACTTCTCTCAACTCAACTTCCACCCTGAGTTTACCATGTTATTCACACTATGACAAAAACTAACAAATGGGCAGAATGTCTTTAAATCCACTGCCCCTCGCTTCAGCAGGAGGAACATTCTGAGAGCTTTACATACAGCTCAGATGTCTGTACCTCAGGTTGTGCTTTAAGGACTCACAATATTTTTGATGTCTTTCTCTATCAAAGGCGTTATGCACCAAACACATCATGAATAAACATTATGAAAATGTGAAATATTTGGTTGTAAAAGATGTGTGAATGTGTACTGGTGGAGCACAATCAGTCTCAAGATTTAAAACTTTCTTTCTGATGTTAATATTCTATTTGGCTTTAGCTTTGTTTGCACAGTTTATTTCCTGTAATGTAACGAATTCAACAAGAAATAATTTCAGATTGGATTGCAGATATTCAAAAAAGTAGCTGAATTACTGAAGTAGTTTTCCAATAAACAACTTATTTACTCGAGTAATTTCTTTTAATTTCTTGACAAATTGTCACTACAGTAACAGCACTAGCTCTTCCCACCCAATATACGGTGTTTGAATATGTTTTCCTTATGAATTAGTTTTCCTAAACATATCTTTGATTATATTTCTGTTCATATTTATATATTAAGTTCAAAGTCAAAAGGCATTTTGTCTGGAAATATGAAATGCATGTATGTAATAGATAAATAATAAACCAAACCAAATACCTGTTTCTCCTCTCTATAACTGAACATTCAGAGTGTTGAAAGTCAGGCTAACACTGACAGACATGTAGCAGCTTGTATTTTCCTTTAGGTCTGTGGGTGATGTAATGAGACTGAAATGAGTTCTGATTGGTTGCTCTCTTCCTAAAAACAAAAAAAAAAAACAAACAGAAGAAAACAGAACAGAAAAGTTTAGTCATGTTCTGTTTGAGTCTGGACTGAGGCAGGGAGTGTCCAGGTCTTTCTCACTGAAGACGTCTAAATAAACCTCAGGAAAGGTAACAGAGCCGTCAGTTTCTCACTGATATTAATGTATAGCCATGTTTTTCTTTCTGTTAGTGATTCAGTTTATAACCTTCACCTTATCCTGTAAAAGCCAGGTTGGAAGATGAAGTTATTTATTATATGATGAGAAACAGTGAGTTTGATGATGTGATGTTCAGATTTGACTCTCTGTGCTTGAGTCTTAACGTTACTGTGCTGTCCTGTTTTTCTCTCTGTTTGTGATTATAAACTTCACTATGAAGCAGCTTTTAGAAACTGAAAGAGTGCAGAGTGAAATCCTGCTGGTCATATATACCATATAATATATATATATATATATATATATATATATATATATATATATATATATATATAATATATATATATTGGTCAAACAGACCAGTAAATAAAAAAGGGTATCTTATAAATGCACATTGATTTTTTCGTCTTATTCTTCAGGGCTTCCTTAAACTGATGTAGCTTTTCTCTAAAACAATCAGCTAAGTGAGGGGAAAGAGGCAGGCAGAGTGGTGCTACACAACAGACAACAGCATTTAAAAAAGGGTGTTCAGCTCTATTTAATCTGTCAAAAGTGAATCTGTTAAAAGCTGTGTGGAGCTTTGAGGCCCCAGCACAAACAAAGCATCATGCTTTCCACAGGCTTCATCTCAGCTAATCCAGTGAGATACATGTCACTGATATAAGAAAGAGACAAGGAGAGAGACCGAGAGAGAGAGGAAGCAAAACATATGTCATGAGGATGATTTAACAGAAGTCTACAGAAAGAGTTTCTTTATGCTTCCTGAAAATGTACAGAGGGTATTTGCAGAAGGCCAGTATCTGCAGATCTAAGATAAAGAGTTAGAACATAATAAGTTCACCTTTTTTGTGGGATTTATTGAACAGATTTCAAAATAAAGTTTATTAAATGTTGGAATAGTTAAGCTTGATAATGCTTTCACTTTCAATTTGTTACTAGCAAAAAACAACTTTTTTTGGTTAACCCTTGTGTGATGTTGATGTGTTTGTTACTCAGTGTGTCTGGTGGACCCACCGCATTAATGTTTTAAATCAATACAGCCAAATGCAAAACATTCAATCACAGACTGTCTAGTGTGATTTGAGAAAACGAAAACAAACTTGGACCACTGATCAACAAAAAAAGATCTCTCATTTACTTCCTACCTACAGTTTCAAACATAATTCCAGAAATAATATTCCTTTGGTTTAGCAGTTTAATTTTGTCTTCTCAAGGTTCATTCTCACAGAACCCATAATATCAGCTGGGCATGTGTTTCTAGGTGCCACCTGGCAGCACCAGAATGACAGATATATTTTTGAAACACAGGAAAGAAATGATGAGGCAGGGCGACAGGGTTTAACACTAACGAGTACTCTGCAGTTAATTATTAAACATTCTTTTACCATGTGCATATGTCAACGCTTTCTTTTAAATCATTGTGTATTTAATGTCTTTGTACAGAAATAGCATTCTCAATTTCCATGGAATAAAACACCTCCAGCTGCATAAAATATCTATTCTGGATTTTCTTCTTTTTCTCTATGTTATGCCATATTAATACATTAATTCATAAAACAGTAGAATTTGTTTAAGAGAATCAACATATGAACTGTACCATCAGCTCTTTACATTTAGGTATTTATCAGCTAAACTCACACCGCACAATTAGTTCAACGCTGTATTACAAAAATGCTCTGAATTTCAACTGCTGTACAAACATGTAACCCTAAGTATTTCTACCACAAATGAAATATCAATTATTTTTTGCAAGGTTCATAAAATGGTTGGTGGGAGACATGTGTGTCTAACATAACACATGTGACTAACATTAGATCTCTAACAAAATATGTGTCATCACCATTGGTCAGATATGCTCTGCAAGGGTTCAATTTTTTTCATATCAAATAGAACAAAACAATCTGCTTACTGAAAATTACTGAACAAAAATAGTTGACTAGCATCACATTGTGTTTTTATGATGATTTTCTAATATTTGTCACATTTAGTAACCTGACAGACAGGAAAGAAATGATGGAGCAGGGTGATAGGGTTTAATGTTTTTGAGTTCTCTGCAATGACGACAGAAATCCAGAAATGCATACAGAGCACTGCTTTAAACTAGAAATTATTGGCAGCAAATTGCTGGCAAAACACTTTTGCATGCATAATAGATGTATGGTTATATTCTCCCAAATAAAATACAATCTTTTTTAAGAAAAAGAAAATCTTCTTCGCCAATTTCAGAAAAGGAAAAAATAAATAAATACAATTTACAAAAAACATTCCCAAAATTACAAAAACCACAAACACAAATGTGATGACACTTTAGTGGCGGTCACACATAAATTAATCAATTATTCAATTCATTCATATTTACTACCTGTATTACAGTGAGCAAGCAAGTATGATCGAATTGTTATGCATATTTTGTACAAAATAATTATTATCACACCAAAAACAAAATATTTGGTTAAACAGTTAAGGTACAGTGATGGCAGCCATGGTGCATGGGGCCACCCTTACCCTGTTAGTAGACCAGCTTTTTGTTGATGTTGTTGAGTTTGCACATATTTTTACACATTCAAGGCCTGAGTAAATTATTTTTTTAACAATGTGTTTTGTATGGATGAACCTTCACAGGGAGCAGTCCAACCGTGTCTGTGAAGAGTAGAAACTAAACAATGGGGAACGAAAACTCAAACCCAAGAAGTGGAGGAGCCACTGATCCAAAGTGAGTCACTTCCCATAAGCACTAATCCCGAGGAAACAGAAAAACAATTAATAAAAACATGCAAGAAAAATGAAATATAGTTTGTCACTCAGACTAAAAGAGACTTAAAGAAGGTAAAGAAAGTTGTTACCCAACACTTTAATGTCACTGTGAACTAACTTCTTGCTAATGCCTTACAGCAAGTGCTGTCTAGCTAATATTAAGTAATGCATTTGTTGACATGAACAGCACATGAAGTACTACATTAATAATGGTTAGTTGATTTAAAGTAAACCAGTAACAACTGCATTAGTTAGTGTTTTCAGATTGTGTTGACTAAAATTAATGTATTTGTTAACATTAAAAACACGAGGCACTATGTTAATAATATTTTACTAATATTAAGCAAACAAATAATACCATTCATTGATACTTTAACTTTTTCACTACTGTATAAATAAACATCAATAACCAGTGTTAAATCATCGTTTATTTGGCTGTAATAACAATAAAGCAGTAGTAGGTAGTAAACAGTTACATTTGCTCAATTAAAATTTGATGCATTTGTACTTTTCAAAGAATTACCAAATTATAATAGTTTTCCAAATGTTAACACTCACTCACCTCCTAACATTAATGTAGACTCTAATGCCATTAATGTTACATACATTAGCTAATGCTTGTTAGCTAAAACTTATTGTAAATACAACAATGACTAATACAGAGGTTTCTACTTCACTTAATATTGGCTAACTAGTATTAATGTGTTGTTCATGTTAACAAATGCATTATATATTATTAGTTAGTCAACACATTGTAAAATGTAAATGTAATGGTTAAAGCAGGAACATGAAGAGTGATGGGTCCATGCCTGTCTCTGCTCCATTCAGCAGAGAAAGAGGAAAACCCAGCCATGTGCCTAAGAAGAGTGGTGGGTCAACACCTGTCCCTCCTTCATCCAACAGAGGGGGTGGACAACCCAGTGATGGGTCCACACCTATCTCTCCTTCATTCACCAGAGGAGGTGGACAACCCAGAGATGGGTCCACACCTGTCTCCCCTTCTTTCAGCAGAGAAAGAGGAGAACCCAGCCATGTGCATAAGAAGAGTGGAGGGTCAACACCTGTCCCTCCGTCATCCAACAGAGGGGGTGGACAACCTAGTGATGGGTCCACATCTATCTCTCCTTCATTCAGCAGAGGAGGTGGACAACCCAGAGATGGGTCCACACCTGTCCCTCCTTCATTCAGCAGAGGAGGTGGACAACCTAGTGATGGGTCCACACCTGTCTCTCTTTCATTCAGCAGAGGAGGTGAACAACCCAGTGATGGGTCCACATCTGTCCCTCCTTCATCCAACAGAGGAGGTGGACAACCCAGAGATGGGTCCACACCTGTCCCTCCTTCATTCGGCAGAGGAGGTGGACAACCTAGTGATAGGTCCACACCTGTCCCTCCTTCATTCAGCAGAGGAGGTGGAATACCCAGAGATGGGTCCACACCTGTCCCTCCCTCATTCAGCAGAGGATGTGGACAACCCAGTGATGAGTCTACATGTGTCCCTCCTTCATTCAGCAGAGGAGGAGGAGAACCCAGCTCTGAGTCCATAAAGAGTGGTGGGTCCACACCTGTCTCTTCTTCATTCAGCAGAGGAAGAGAAGGGTTCAGCTATGTGTCTATGAAGTGTGATGGTTCCATGGACAACCTTCCTCATTACAACAGTGGAGCTGTGCCTTCTGGTCCTAGGTGAGTTATTCCCCCTCAGTATAATACAGATAAATAGATGTGCTGGAATTCTGCAATTTGGTGGACAGTTTGGAGTTACACTCTGAATCTGGCTGTCGCTCGCTCCAGAATAAGAATGTCCAGAAAATATCCACACCATAACTGAGTTAAAGAAATATTAGGTTCAAACCAGCCTTTCAAGATTAATTTTGGCCACAGTTAAGGCTGCCATCAGAACCTTTCTTTGTTGTACACTAAGCATCAAATTAGAGTCAAGCATAAGTAAAGTTGGGCACATAGAAATGTTGACAGATAAATAGCCAGACATACAGCCATAAAGCCTTCACAATTGAACATGATGAAAACAATTTTTGTCATTTGAAAACTTCATTAAAAAACATGGCAAGGAGTGATGTAAATCCTGTGAATTAAAGTGAATTAACTAATGAGACAAGTTTTTAGAAGATGGAAAAATGTTATGCCATATGGGGAAATATTGAATATGTGCAGGTCTCAAAAAAAAACAAACAGTAAAAAGTATTTTTCCAAATGCTTGTTAAGTTTATTAAGAAGATAAGCGTAGTTGTGCTTCTGAATAAAAGCAAGATTTAGATATATTTTGATGCCTAAATATGTAAAATCAGATGTATGAACATGTATCTTGGAATGTCCAGAGAGATTTAAATGGCCATTGCACCCACCAATGGGCATCAAAATAGACTTGACCCAATTTAGTTTATATCCTGAAAATAAACCACATCTCTAAAAAAACATGAGTGCATGTGGCATTGCATTACTAACATCTGAAAGAAATAAGATAATATCATGGGCATATAGGGGGATATGATGTGACAAATTGTTTATAGGAATGGGAGTAATTAAAGAGCTCCACCTAATTGCTTCAGCTAGAGGTTCGAGAGATAGAATGAATAAGCTTGAACTAAGGGGGCAACCTTGTCTTGTCCCTCTCTCAAGAACGAAGAGAGAAGAAATTATGTGTCCTGTAGTAACGCATGCTGTTGGGGAATTTGGATCATTTTGATAAAAGAGGGTCTAAAACCCAATTTCTTAAGCACTGCCCACAAATACCATCAGCTTCACCAAAAGCCTTCATAGCATCTAAGCTGAAGTGCCTAAAAAACTATTCACATCCCTGTTGCTGACATCAATTATATGTAAGACACACCTAACATTAACATGCTGCAAATAAATCCAGATAAGTAAATCAGGGCCTTGGTAGAAGATCAGACGTTGTCCAATAAAATAACATAAAAGTGATGTGTGGCAAGCAGTTTAATTTTAAGCAGTTTATAATGGTCATTTCTGTTGACGAAGTGAGCATTTCTGTGTTTTAACTTCTTTAGACACTCTATGGTGGAAAGAACTGGACACCTACAGCAGGATTCTCATCTAGCAGTAGATGATGTCTTAGAGAGACACAAAACCAGCATGAAGAACAAGTGCAAAAACTTAGTTGAGAGAACCAAAACAGAAGTAAATAAAACGCTCCTGAACAGGATTTACACTCAGTGCTACATCATGGAGGGAGAGAGTGAAGGAGTCAATGAAGAACATGAGGTTTTACAGATGGAGAAAACATCCAGGAGACACTTAGAAGACTCTCCAATCAACTGCTTAGATATATTTAAAGCTCTACATGATCTAAAAGGAGAAACAGAAGAAAAGAAAATTCTAGCTGATGTTGCTAAAAGTTTCAGACCCAAAAAAATAGACAAAGAAAGAAACGAAGACAAAGAACTAAAAGTGCCAAAGCTCAGAAGTGTGCTGACTAAAGGCTTTGCTGGCATTGGAAAAACTGTCTCTGTGCAGAAGTTCATTCTGGCCTGGGCTGATGGAAAATCCAATCAGGATGTAGATTTCATGTTTGTGCTTCCGTTCCGGGAGCTGAACTTGGTTAAAGATGATCAATACAGTCTTCATAAACTTCTGTGTGACTTCCATCCTGAGATCAAAGATCTGGACCCAAGGATTTATAATCAGACCAAAGCTGTGTTTATATTTGATGGTCTGGATGAAAGCAGAATTCCACTGAACTTTAAACAGTGTGAGAAAGTAACTAACATCACCACGACATCATCAGTGGATGTGTTGATAATAAACCTCATCAAAGGAGAGCTGCTTCCATCTGCTCTGATCTGGATCACCTCCCGACCAGCAGCAGCCAAACAGATCCCTCCTAAATACATCAACCGTGTGACAGAAATACAGGGATTCAATGACCCACAGAAGGAGGAGTACTTCAAGAAGAGGATCAGTGATGAAGACCAAGCCCAGAGAATCATCTCCCACATTAAGACAGTGAGGAGCCTCCACATCATGTGCCACATTCCAGTCTTCTGCTGGATCTCAGCCACTGTTCTTCAGCAAATCATGAAACAGCATAATACAGAAATCCCTAAAACTCTGACTGAAATGTACTCACACTTCCTGCTCACTCAGACCAACATAAAGAACGAGAAGTATGAGAAAGATGAGAGAGACCCAAAGAACCTGCTGGAGTCCAACAGAACCATTCTTCTTAAACTGGCTGAACTGGCTTTCAAACAGCTGATGAAGGGCAATGTGATGTTCTATGAAGAGGACCTGAGAGAGAGCAGCATTGATGTCACTGAGGCCTCAGTGTATTCTGGGATTTTCACTGAGATCTTTAGGGAGGAATGTGTGCTTTACCAGAGGAAGGTCTATTGCTTTGTTCATCTGAGCTTTCAGGAGTTCCTGGCCGCTGTTTATGTGTTCCACTGCTATGAAAATAAGAAAATGAAGGTACTGCACATTTTTACATCACTAAACAGAGAGTGGTCTGAGAATGTTCCACTGGATGAGATTTTGAAGAGAGCAGTGGATAAGGCTGTAGAGAGTCAGAATGGACACCTGGATCTTTTACTCCGTTTCCTGCTGGGCATCTCATTGGAATCCAATCAGAGACTCCTACAGGGCTTACTGACACCAACACAGAGCAGCTCAGAGAAAACCACAGAGTACATCAAGAGCTTAATCAAAGGAGATTATCACATTTCCTCTGAGAGATCCATGAATCTTTTTCTCTGTCTGTCTGAGATGAATGACCAGTCTCTCTCCAGAGAGCTTCAGGAGTATCTAAAATCAGAGAGACACTCAGAGGAGAAGCTCTCTCCTGGACAGTGTTCAGCACTAGCCTGCATGCTTCTGATCTCGGAAGAGGTGCTGGATGAACTGGACCTAAGGAAATACAACACATCAGAGGAGGGTTATAAGAGACTGATCCCAGCTCTGACTGTCTGCAGAAAAGCTGTGTGAGTGTTACATCTATGTTACTACATTTCTAAACATTTCTATATAAATATTGCTAAAGAAATAGCAGTATTATATACTATTAGGATTATGTACTATTTAGTTATTTAGTAAAAGCAGTATGTACAAAACACACACGCACATGCACACACACACACACACACACACACACACACACACACATATATATATATATCAGGCAATTAGTTGGACATTAAACATCTTTGTAGTGTTTTCAGTACAATGTAAATTGTCTCATAAGTTGCTGTAAAATGTGTGCCTGTCATGTGTGCCTGTAATGGAAAAATGAAAAAGAATTAACATCTAACTCTTTATCTAAGGCCTTACTAACACATCTTATTATGACATTTATAACACATTTCTAAACTAGAGCATAATTAACTGCTTGCTTATCTTTAAGATGCAGGCCTTAAATGTTATGTACCATATATTTATATACATTTTGTATTTATTATTTCTGTGCAGACTGTCTGGCTGTAATCTCACCAAGAACTCATGTGAAGCCTTCAGCTCTGCTGTACAATCAGCAAACTCTTCTCTGAATGATCTGGACCTCAGTAACAATGACCTGCAGGATTCAGGAGTGGAGCTGCTCTTTGCTGGATTGAAGAGTTCAAGCAGTAAACTGAAGATACTCAGGTAAATTTTCTGTGAATGAATTCCTGAATGGACAATCTTTCACTGTCACCATTCCAGTAATGCAAAAATAGACTAATAATTTGAAGTATGTAATATAAACAGCATGATATTCTTTTTCTTTTGTTCCATTCAGAAATGTTTTCTTATGTATGCTGTAAAATCTGTTGCAATTTCTCACCTTCTGTAGACTTGCTCTCTGTAAACTTGGGGAAAAGGCTTGTGAAAATCTGGCATTAACTCTACAATCAACAGACTCCTCCTTGAAAGAGCTGGACCTCAGTAACAATGATGTACAGGATTCAGGAGTCGAGCTTCTTTCTGCTGGACTGAAGAGTTCAAGCTGTAAATTGGAGATACTCAGGTAAAGCATTCAGTAAATTGAATCTGAAATCTGAGATGCCAAAAAAAGAGGATTTTAAGCTTTTGTTTTCTGGCAAAGTGTGGACTTGAGATATTGTATTAAATAAAAAACAACCAGTGGGATTCTACTGTTACTGTCTTTTTTGCAATTTCTGGGAGCTCCACACACAAAATTGAGCTTCTTTGTCTGAAATGATCTTTACTGTACTGTTTTCATGAATGGCCTTTAGCACTTGAAAACCTATGTGGTAGTGGTTGTTAGTAGGGGGAGGAACAAGTGTTGCTTCTCGTCCATGAAATGGCATTTTGGGGCTGCAATGAAATCTCTCTGGTTTTAACCAACAATTCTTGGCCTCAGTCTACAGTATTTCTGGTAGTCAGGGTGTTCTCTGAATGATTTTTTATTCTTCAACCTTGGTTTTGGTGGTCCACAATACTTTCTGCCATATACTGCACTTTTTTCCTGCTGCCTTCAACCTAGCTTCCCAATGCCGAGTTGAGTTTTCCATAATCTCAATTCTGCTTTCAGCTTCTTCAGTTTGGACACAAAGGCATGTACATTTGTCACCCAGAATTTGAGGAGCTGAAAGCAAAGGCAGCCACTGCTGTCAATTTCTTACTTTCGTATTTTATATATTTTTTTAAATCTTGATCTTTATAAGTTTTATTTTTTTCCACTTATTCTCACTAATTGTCATCCAAATTTTTGTATTTACTAATACTATTTACTTGTAATTTCTATGTCTACATCAGTCTTCAGTGCTGTCTAGAGAAAAACTGTGTCTGTTCTGGAGTATTATCTCTTAGATATCAGAATCAGGGTTAAGGTGTAAATAGGAGTGTGAGGCTACTGTATCCATTTTGTTATTGTGATTTTGTTTTGTTTGATATCAAGATGATGGTTTTTTGTTTTATGTAAATGCCATCTGCCCTTTTTCCATTTTGCAGGTTGTCTGGATGTATGGTTACAAATAAAGGCTGTTCTTCTCTGGCTTCAGCTATGAAATCAAACCCCTCCCACCTGAGAGAACTGGATCTGACCTATAATCACCCAGGAGAGTCTGGAGTGAAGCTGCTCTCTAATCTACTGAAGGATCCACACTGTGCACTGGAGAAACTACAGTGAGTTACTGACTTACTGTCTCTATATGCAGACTAACTGTAATTATACATATCATGCACATATCTGAATGTAATGTTTTAGATGTAGATGTGTTTTATTATGAGGTGGTGAACCTTACAGAAAAAAATACACCCAGTATTTTCAGCTGGGTTCTCTCTTGTATTAAATAGAGCACAGACAGCCCACTGGCTATGCTAACTAACATTAGATTCACATCATGTGTTACAAATGCAGCCTGTCAGATCATTAGATAAATAAGCTGCCTAAATTTAATCACAGGAACAATTCCTAGTGGCCCACAAAAAATGGTGTTTGTGTTAAACAAATCTAGCAGTCAATCAAAACAGTAAAGACAGAAGATGTGAAATCACTGAGATTTGTATGTGTTGGTTGGTGGAAATAACCGCTCTGTCTGCCATACTCATCAGACTGAAACAGTGGACATCCTTGTAATGTAATAAGACAGTAATAAGATGTGGCCCTGATGAGCACCTGTGCTTGCTGATCTTTGTTCGGACAGAGTTTTATTAACACTCACATGTGAGTGATATTAACCTAATAACATACACTTACATAGTTATGACAGAAAAGTATAACTCAAATGATATGTGATAAATAAGTATATATTAAGCTTTAACTTCAGCACAGCAGATCGATATTGTAGTTATATACCTTCTGCTTCTCTGTAATGCTGACACCATTTGTAATTTATATAAACACACATGCCACTACTAAGAGCACAGCGACGACTCATCCAAGAGGTCACAAAAGACCCCACAACAACATCCAAATGTTACGGGACGGCGGGGAGGCGGACCCAAGTGCAGAAATGGAAACAGAGAAAAATGGAAAAATGAGTTTATTGTGGCACTGGGTTGTGAATTCGAAACATGCAGATGAGGTGACCCAAAGCCATGTTCGAACCGGCAATGTACTGATCGGCGCTTCGTGGCATTACCACTGCGCTACTAAGGAGCACAGGTGACTACTGGCAAAGCACCTCAAGGAAGGGGGAAAAGAAAAGGCGGGAAAACGGCGAATGGCAGACAAAAGAGACGTTGAGAGCAGCGTGCTCAAACAAAGGCTGAACTAGAGAGGCGAGAGGACAGATAATAGGAAAAACAAAAAACACTTCCACTCCAAAAACGAAGGGAAGGCAGACTTTGTTTCAGTTGTTTGCTCCTGGTGGAGCAAACAGTTCTTCTTTTTCTTTTTTTTTCCCTTTAAGTAGCTTTGGGACAGTTTCTTTTCTCAGCCCTCTTTTCTTTTTTTGGTTTTGGGTGCAATTTCTTTTCACAGCCCTCTTTTCTTTTTCTTTTTAGTTTTGGGGCAGTTTCTTTTCTTTTCTTTTCTTTTCTTTTCTGACGCTAAGTACCGTACCGGTCACCCCTCTACAAAGGTGTGACAAACACCACTGTTTGCCTTGACCTTAAGTAGAGGAGTCCGCAGGTGTGTTGTGTTGGGCCTAATCAGCCCGCAGACTTCTGGGAATTGGACTTCCCTGAAGTTATGGCCCTGTGCTGCCGTCGCCCTCTGCTGGCAGCTGGCGGCGCAGGCTGGACACCCTGCCGCTGTTGCCCTCTGCTGGAAGCAGGTGGTGCAGGCTGGAAACCCTGCCGCCATCGCCCTCTGCCGGCAGCAGGCGGGGCCGGCTGAACCCTTACACCAAAAAACTGCAGGCCTCACTTGCCTCGGTTAAGAAAGAGACTGAGCAAAAAAGAGTTCCAGGACGAAAACCGCTGCTGAGCAAAAAGAATATAAAGGCAGGTCTCAGTTTTGCCAGAAAACATCTTGATGATCTCCAAGACTTTTGGGAGAATACTCTGTGGACTGACAAGACAGAAGTTGAACTTTTTGGAAAGTGTATGTCCCATTACATCTGGCATAGAAGCAACACACCATTTCAGAAAAGGAACATCATACCAACAGTAAAATATGGTGGTGGTAGTGTGATGGTCTGGGGCTGTTTTGCTGCTTCAGAACCTGGAAGACTTGCTGTTGTAAATGGTACTGTGAATTCTGCTGCCTACCAAAAAATCCTGAAGGAGAATGTCCGGCCATCTGTTCGTGACCTCAAGCTGAAGCGCACTTCGGTTCTGCAGCAGGACAATGATCCAAAACACACCAGCAAGTCCACCTCTGAATGGCTTAAGAAGAACAAAATTTAGATTTTGGAGTGGCCTAGTAGTAAGTAAAGTAAAGTTTATTTATATAGCGCTTTTTACAACAGGTGTTGTCACAAAGCAGCTTTACAAGGAAATCAGCATTACAGAAAGAAATCCGGGTCCAAGCCCCCATGAGCAAGCCAGTGGCGACAGTGGCAAAGAAAAACTCCCTAGGAAACAGGAAGAAACCTTGAGAGGAACCAAGACTCAGAAAGGGAACCCATCCTCCTCTGGTCGACACCGGATAGTAAACATTGTTAGTACAAAAACAGGGAAAACAGGTGGAGCAATGATTAATTTGATTAGTTTAGTTCAGCAGCATCAGCATCAGTGGGGTCAGGTTGTGAAGGTGAGGTTTGCACAGCGTAGTACAGCATGGAGCTTGATGGTGGTCAAGCCGGTCCAGAGGGCTGGCAAGCAGTGGCACCCGATCAAGGCAGAAGAGGCAGCAGCATCAGACGCACAGGATGGGCAGCTGTTCAACTCGGCAAAGGAAACGAAAGAAAGGAAAAACACACAGAGTCAGTTCTGTAATGGGTGACTGATTAATTTAATTAGTTTAAATGATTTGATTAGTTCAAATGATTAATTTGATTAGTTTAGTTTATGCAACAGCAGCATCAGTGAGGTCAGGATTGTGAGGGTGAGGTTTGCACGGCGTTGTACAGCAAGAAGCTCAATGGTGGTCAAGCCGGTCCAGAGGGTTGGCGAGCAGTGGCACCCGATCAAGGCAGAAAGGCAGCAGCATCAGAATGAACAGGATGGGCAGCTGTTCAACTCGGCAAAGGAAAGAAAGAAAGAAAGGAAAAACACACAGAGAGTCAGTTCTGTAATGAGTCACTGACAGAACTGAGAGTCAGTTCTGTAATGGGTGTCAGTTCTGTAATAGGTGTCAGTTCTGTAATGGGTGTCAGTTCTGTAATAGGTGTCAGTTCTGTAATGGGTGTGAGTTCTGTAAAGGGCGACTGATTACAGATTAAAGTGTTAGCAGAGCAACAGAGACTCTGGCAGGTATAGAACTGACAGGGAAAACGAATTAATTACCAAAGGCTAGTCAAAGTCCTGACCTGAATCCGATTGAGATGCTGTGGCTTGACCTTAAAAAGGCGGTTCAAGCTTGGAAACCCTCCAATGTGGCTGAATTGAACAACAATTCTGCAAAGATGAATGGGCCAAAATTCCTCCACAGCGATGTAAAAGACTCATTGCCAGTTATCGCAAATGCTTGATTGCAGTTGTTGCTGCTAAGGGTGGCCCAACCAGTTATTAGGTTTAGGGGGTAATCACTTTTTCACACAGGGCGCTGTAGATTTGGAGTTCTTTTTCCCTTAATAATGAAGATCTTCATTTATAAACTGCATTTTGTATTTACTTGTGTAATCTTTGTCTAATATTTAAATTTGTTTGGTGATCTGGAACATTTAAGTGTGACAAACATGCAAAAGAATAAGAAAACACTTTTTCACTCCACTGTATGCTGTGATTGTTTGCTGTTTGCTGGTTTCATGCTATTTTGTGCAGTTTTTATGAAGTACTCAGGTTATACATTTTCACAGGATCTGAGAAGTCTGGAGAGCAGTTAAAATGTGCAGTATGTGTAGTGGTATTTTGTAATTTGCATGGGAATTGGGTATGATAAAGAACAGAAAAACTGTAAAATAAATATAAAGAAACTAAAATGCACCGTGACCCAGAAGGATAAGCGGTTTAGATGATGGATGAACTAAAATGTCAGTTGTTATAAAGTGCTGTCATTTCAGCCCATAATGCCAACAAAAACTGTGTCACCTGACATAAGTATTATGCAAATTTGGCAAAAGCAGACTTTCTGACAACTGAGGCTTTTTGGAATAAATCTTTACAAAAATATGTTTTATGTAGGTTTTTTATTAGTTGTTCTGGAGGCTAAAGAAAGCTGTCCTTTAGTAAAGTGTTACTGTTTGTTCTTCAGGGTGGATCATGGAGGGAAGATCAGGATGAAACCTGGATTGAGGAAATGTAAGACACACACACACACACACACACACACACACACACACACATACAATCACACACAATGATTGATTTTTTTTTCTGTTTGTTTCCTGTAATCTGTGTGTGTTTGTGGGTGTGTGTGTGTGTATCTGTGTGTGTGTGTGTTTGTGGGTGTGTGTGTATGTGTGTACAGATGCTGTTGATCTCACTCTGGATCGAAACACCATGAACAGTAATCTCTATCTGTCTGAGAGGAACAGAAAGGTGAATTGTTTGGATAAGAAACAGTCGTATCCAGATCATCCAGACAGATTTGATCGTTGTGCTCAGGTTCTGAGTGTGGAGAGTCTGACTGGACGCTGTTACTGGGAGGTTCAGTGGAGTGGATGGGATGCGGACATATCAGTATCATACAGAGGAATCAAGAGGAAAGGACTTAGTGCTGACTGTGTGTTTGGAAATAATCATCAGTCCTGGAGTCTGAACTGTTATAATAACAGATATTCTGTCAGAAACAATAAACAGAAAACTGACCTACCAGCACCCCCCTCACCCTCTAACAGAGTAGGAGTGTATCTGGACTGGGGGTCCGGCACACTGTCCTTTTACACCGTCTCCCCTAACACACACACACTGACCCACCTACACACACTTACCACCACATTCACTGAACAACTCTATGCTGGGTTTAGGGTTTATGCTGACTCATCAGTGCAGCTGTGTGTGATAGAATAACCTCTATACAATTTGTGTGTGTGTGTGTGTGTGTGTGTGTGTCTGTGTGTGTGTGTGTGTGTGTGTGTGTGTGTTTGTGACATATATGGTGGAAATGTTGTTCACAGTTTCAGTCTAAAGTGTTATTGTTAAAATTGACTCACATAGACAAATTTGTTGTGTGTTGCAAAAATATCTGCAATGTTTAAAACTTAAGCTTACTCTGAAAATATGCGAATGGGAAAATAATTTTGCAAACACATTAGGTTTTAGTTTTTGGAAGACGATTATCTGTTGAAAGCTTTCTTTAACTTTTCAAGTAAAGGTGAGGTGAGGTGAGGTATCTGTTAGCTGGCTAGATTTTTACCATCTGTGTTTCTATAGCTTTTCTTATACTTTTGTTTCAGTGAACAAATGAAGGTAGCACTTTATGAAAGCCATATTTGTAGAAATAGTTAAAAATGTGCTTATAACTATTTATAGCTTGGTTGCAATGCTTTGAGCATGCTTAGAAACTTTAATAATCACCCATAAGACTGTAATAACATACTGTAATTAAACCTTTGGTCACATATAAGCATGTTGTAACACAAGTGTTACTATTTTTATGCGTATTAAAGAGATAACGACCTGTAAATAATCATAAAGCACATATAATACTTACAAACAATTATAAACACAAACAAATTGAAGTGAAATTTTAGGTTATTCACATTTTAATGTAAAATATGATGTACTGTTTGTTTCTGTCAATATACACTATGTATAATATGTGTAGATCTGTTGTTATTGCAGGATCAGCTGCACTTTGATGTTAATTACTTATGTATTATGGTCAAATGTTGACATTGTTGGATAGACAAATCCTCAAAACAATTGTGTTTACAGTTTTTTTTTTTTGAGAAATTGAGAAATCAAATCTTATATATTGCAGTAATGTGTTTGTGCTTTTGTCATTGGTTTGAAATTAAATATAGTACATTTACCTTAATGTTAATTTATAACAAAGAATGACATAAAATAGCCATCTCTTTGTTTGAGCGCTCAGGGCTTGATATACTATCTTTTGTGGCAGTTTCAGACACATGTCTGTCCAGACACATTCTATGGTTCTAGAGAGGACTGCAGAAGGATCACACAAAACATGGGTGGATATGTTGGAAGTGCTGCTGATTATATATTTCACTCCATTTATTTAAGTTTGAGAGACTCACAGTGACTGGTTTTGATTTTTCTCTGCATTTTGAAACCAGGTATAAATTTGTGTTAGTTTTAAAAGGTAATGCTAAGACCAGATAGAGCCTAGACAGAGACACGTTCTGAAAGAATACTTACCAGTGGATTGATGTTCTGTAAACTCATAATCTTCCCTCAAAGAACATGGAACACCTTAAGACCTTTTTTGGCAAGTAATTTAAAAAAAGATCTTAGTAAAGTGAATTATGTTTATGCAAGCAACTTGTACATCTCTTCTACAAAAAGGAAAATGTAAACTCTGTTTCTAACCTCGACAGTTCAGCTGAGAGTATAATAAAGTGCATAAAAATGTGTATCAAAACAAATAGGATTAGAGATCGTAGACGGTGTCAGACATTGACAACTTGAAAAAAAATAGATCAGCAAATAATGGCATGATAAAATTAAAATAACTTTTAATTTTACTTATATGACATTGATGAATGAATGTAAATTTCCATTGGATTTATATGTGGATATATAGACTGCTCTTATTGTTTACTTATCATAATTAATTCATGATTAAAAGTTGTGCTTTTCAGTTACTATACATTGGCTGTGAATATACTATAATATTAAAATGTAGCCTATTTACAAAGCACTTTTAAGTGTAGGCTTTCTTTGGCTTAAAAACAAAAGACATCTATGCAGTCCTACCTTACAATTTACTCTCAATAAAAAATAAATTAATAACTAAATAATCAAGCATTTAAGAGTTGCTCTTTGTTGTGTATATAGGTCATATATTCATGTCAGTGGTGGTGTTAATATATGAATATTTATAACTAAATATTCTCTCTCTGTGACGATT